TTCCATGATACAAAAATATCACTTTTTAGATGAACTTCAAAATATTGTTTTTTTCCTTTTTAAAACGTTTTTCCATTTTTTACCTGTTAGTTCAGTTAGCTGATAATTGTTGGAATGAAGTATAGTTTATTATAGTTCTATTATAATATTTAAAAGAATAAAAAAAGTAATGAATCTGAGTAAAAGAGATTTTATTTTCTTATCGAAACATTGCAATAAGAATGAATTCCAAGACATATAAATTTCCAAACACTTGATACAAAATAGAGAATAAATGGTTTGGTGTCAAAAGGCTTAATAAATAAACCAGAAAAAAAAACGAAAACAATAAAAAGAAAATTAAGACAGAATAATTTGAGGAGTGTCTAATAAAATGAAGAGTAAAAACTTAATTGTGTTAATAAATTTGACTTTGTAGCATAAAAAAGAACCGAAACTTATATTATTTGGTTTAAAATTAAAAAACCAAAAACAATATATTATTTCCAATACTAATTAATAAAAATGACTTTAAGAATTACTATTATTTTCATAATAATTCTGTTATTAATATCATTGCTATATAAGTCTTGTGTTATTTTTTTTTATTGGTTAACGTATCATATTAAACAATAGAAATAATATAACTTTAACAATAAGAGGTTTCTTAAAGGTTTTTAAATATTTCAATTTTTTATATAATTATTTGGTTAATATTAGTATATTTATATATAAAACATAAGCGAAGAGGTGGAATGAAAATTATAATGAACTAAAGAAAGATATTAGATATCAATTATTAATTGATTTTTAAAAAAAAAGAGAGGAGAATTAAAATAAAATATTTTTCATAAAGAATAAAATCATTGTCATTGAATATGAAATGATACAAAAAATTCAAAAAATGAATTAATTATCATAAAAAAAAACAAACTAAAAATAATAAAACAAATACTTTATCAAATAATATTAATAAAATTATAATTTAATTATATGTTAAAAAAGAAAATTGTAAAGAATATTAAAAAAATAGAATTTATACAACAAAATTAAATAAAAGAAATTGTTAAAAAATTTTAAATAAAAAAAGAAATATAAAACATTTATTAAATTGAATATTTAAAAAAATGTATGTTTAAGGTTCAATAATTTTGTTATTAACAATTTGTAACTTTTGAGAAGCAGTTCTTATTTTCTGACTTGAAACTACTTCACTTACAATTTCTTCTATTTTTTTAGATAATTCAGGAGTAATATCATCAACTTTTCTTGTTCTTCTTTTTTGTTGTCCGTTATTTAAAAGAAGTGATTCATATTCTTTTAATGTGACATAAAAATGATTATTAATTTCTATTGTCCAACAAGCTTTTTTAAATAATTCTTTAGCTGCATTAATCGTAATTTGATACTTCTTTAATAAATAAAATGTTAATAAACTTGCTGATCGACTTTTACCATATTTACAATGAAATAATACACTTTTTCCTTGATTTCTTATTTTTTCAACAAATGAATATGTTTGATCAAAATAAGAATCAATTGGAATTATTCCATCGTCATCAATAGGTATTCTCAAATATTCTTTATTTGTTATTCCTTGATAATCTTCTGGTTTAAAATTCTCATTTAATTGAGAATTATAGTAACATGTAATATTCTTTGTACAATTTACAATACCTTCTACTTCCATTTCTTGTAACCAATTCAAATTCATTGCAGTGAGTTGAGTTCCAATAAATACTCCAGGACATACCTCCACTCCTTTTCCATCCTTTCTTATTTTAAATTCTTTTTCTTGTCGTTCAAGTTCCTTTCTTTCAGCCTCATTTTCTTCTTCCTCTATCTTTTTTTTTAATAACTTCTGTTTTTCTTTTATTGCTTTTCTTCGAGCTTTCTCTTCTTCTTTTAATTTTTTCTTTTCTTCAAGTAATTGCTTTCGTAGTCGTTCATTTCTTAACAATGCAGACTCACCATTTTTAGGTTTGATTGTAAAGAACAAATCCAATCCTCCCATTTTTTTAACCTTTTTAGTTTTATGTGATTGTTCCTTTATTGGTTTGCTTTCAACTCTTTTTTCTTGACTAGGGCTTTGATTAAATAATGAGCTAACTTTGAAGAAACGGTCAATAGTCGATTGTTTGCTCATAAGAAAGCTCTCAACACATTCATAGTTCAACTATTTTTTTCTTTTCAATTTTTTATTCCTCAAAAAATAAAAAATTATAATTATTGTTCAAAAGTAAAATTTACTTGTTTATATTTTTCTTAGAATAAACTAAGAAGAAGAATTCCTACAAAAAATGTAGAAAGGAATGAAAAAGCTCCATTTTCATAAGTATCAGTTTGGTCATCATTAGTGTCAAGACGAATATCTTTAAATAATAGTTGAGTTGTTTTATCACTACTACTTGCTCCTCTAGTAAAAATGATAGTAGCAATTTTATTATCTAAGTTGAAATTATCTAATTTAATAGAAATTTCTCTATCATTGTTATGTTTAATTTTAACAGTATATCCATTGATAGCATTAATATCACCATAATTAAATAATGTGTTAAAATCTTCATTAAATATCTTTATATTTAATGGGATGTCATCAAGATCATCAAGATCATAACGAGTAGTAAATTTTAAGGTTTTATAATAATCATTTTTTCCAGAGACTTGGGTAGAGAGAGTGTTGTTTGAAGTAAGAGCAAAATATTGTCCATCTAACATATTAACACCAATCCAACCATTTCCATTTTTTTGTACACAAGAAATACCACTTAAAAATGAGTAAATAGAATATTTAATTAAAAGAATAAAAAGAACAAACATTTGATTTGGATTAACTATTCCAAAACCTTGTTCTAATCCTCCATCTTTATAGAAATAGACATCATCGGCTAAAGAATATATAATAAGAGTAAGTAATAAGATACTTTGCATTTGTATGATTGAATAAATTTATTTGTTAGAACATTGCCTTAAATATAATTAACCTTTCGCAAAAAGCACTATAATCTAATCTCAATTTGAACAAGATTCAATCTGAATGATTAAGGATTAGATTTATGAAAGAAGATTGGTCATCATCTGGTTTAATCAGAACTTTCGTTTTGGAAAATGCAAACGAATAAAATTATAGAAAAAAATAAAAATTCTGGTTATTCAACATCACTCAAAGCTGATTCCTTAATTTCAGCACCATCAAGAATTTCTGCTGAACCAGTTCTAACAACCTTCTCAAAATTGGATTTTTCAATAAATTGATCAATATAACGAGTAACCATCTTAACAACTGGGTATTCACTAATCTTTTCATTATCAGCAGTCATAGCATTATTACTTATCTCACCCCATGGAATAATAACATCAGCCCTTTTGCTTTGAGGAGAGACCCATGTATCATATGCTGGTTTAACAAATTTTTTATATTGTTCTAATACACTTTCCAATGTTCTTCCTCGGAAATTCATATCTCGAATTATACGACGACCTAAACGAACATCATCATCAGTTTCAACAAAAATTTTAAGATCAAAGAGTGATGCCATGTCCATTCCTTTGTAATTGTAAAAAGGATATAATCCTTCAAACATTACTACATCTCCAATCTCAATATCTGTAAATTCACCAGTTCGACTGTTTGTTTTAAAATCATAAACAGGAATTTGAACTCTCTTTCTTTGTTTAACTCTTTTCATTGTCTTATAAATTAAAGGCCAATCAAAAGCATCTGGAGAATCAAAATTATAATCACTAACATTTTTGTTTTCTTCTTCAGTTAAATTTCTATAGAAACAATCTTGAGATATAACAGCAACTTTTTGGAAATTTGGATTTTTTGAAATGACATCACAAAAAGTAGTTTTACCACTTGCAGTCCCACCACACACTGCAATTAAAACAGGACTTGAATGTCTTTTACTCGAACTCATTGATTATTACAAGATTGTGTCATTCTAATTCTCATCAAAAATAATTTGTTTAACTAAATAAAACCCTTGTATATTAACCAATCACTTTTAAAAATTTAAAATTATTTTTTTGTTATTATAATTTGTGTTATTTATTTTTGTTATTATAATTTGTGTTATTAATTAGGGTTTTTGAAGTTAAAATTTTTCAGAAGAAAAGTCAAAAATTTGTTAAATATAAAATAATGTTTGAAATAATATTTTTTTTCTTCAAAACTCAAAAAGAAAGAAATAATAAGAAGCTTCCGTTAAGAAAAAAGTGTAAAACAAAAATATGTATGAATTCCAAGGAAGTCATATAATTTCATTATTTTCAAACAGATTTCAATGGATTCATATAAAAAGAAACTTAGATAATAATAAATTTAATAATAATGAATAATAAAAGGGACATTGAGAGCAAAAAAAAAAAAAAGAAAGTTTAATAAATAGAAATTAATTACAGTCAAAGAAAGTAGCATTTATCAGACTAAAAACTCGGGCAAGGGCAAAGTTAAATTATAAAAAAGAAGACTTAAAGGAA